TTTTCTTAAAAAAGAACTGTTGTTAGCAAGGGATAGAAGGATAGTTTTGTTCAGAAAGTGCAGGAAAGGTAAGTACTGCTTGAAGGGAGGAGTGAATGAATCTTAATTTAATGCCAGATTGATGAATGTGTGCCGCTTTTTGGTATAGCATTTTTACCCTTTCATTACCAGTGACCTGCCTCTTCTTTCCTTCTCTTAGTGAAGCTATTAAGTACCTCACAGAAGCTCTTCAATCAACCAATGAATTGGAACTTGAAGATGTCTTGGAAAAGATCATCGATGCAGTTGAAAAGCAGCCCTGTAAGTAACATTTTCTTATAACTCCTAAATTGTTAATATAGCTATATATTATCAATTAGATTTTTAGATTTAAATAGTTGAGGATTCTGTAGTAAGACTCTCCAGTGTTATGAGATATGCATGGTGGTATTTCTTCCCAAATTAGTTCAGTTGTAACCTCAGGATATTCCCTAGGATCCTTTACAGACACCCTACCACCACCACCCGCCACCCCCATGGTGGAGTTATCATGGCCATCTTTTCTTTTTAGGTTAAGTACTCCTAAATGGGGAAAAAGAAAAGTAAAGCAGGGCTAACTCTCCCTTGCTTTTTTCAGAGATCTTTCGGTTGAATTCTTTATCTGATACCATTAGCCTGGGCCTATAAAGGAAAAATTAATGCCCTTCTCTTTGGGAAAACAAATTGTTCAGTTTTATTGCCCTAAAGGATAGAAGTAAGTGTGACTCATTTTCATGTTGTTAAGAAGTGAGACTTTTTAATTATGTAGCAAGTTACATATTCTATAATGATGTTATATTCTATAAAAATAATCCTATAATGTTAATTTCTGCTTTTTTACTTCTAAAAGCAGGATTTTAAATATACCTTTGCTTTAAAAAATTCTTTATAGCCAGCGTGGTGGTGCACGCCTGTAATCCCTGTGGGAGGCTGAGACAGGAGGATTGCAAGTTCTATACCAGCCTCAGCAACTTAGTGAGGTCCAAGCAACTTAGCACAACCCTATCTCAAAATAAGAAATAAAAAAGGGCATGCATTAATTCATTAACCTAAGATAACACATGGCATGTTGTCTGAAGACATAACGTAATAGTTAAGGCTGCCCACTTTGGAATTAGGCCTGAGTTTGCATTGTTCTCTATCCCTCTAGTTATATTCTTGGGTGGTTACTCAACTTTTCAAAGTTGTACTTTCTTCATCTATAAGATACAGGCAAATTAACATTAGTGCTACAGAACATCTGTCTAATAGAATAATGCTTGTAAAGTTCTAAGCATAATACTATATATTAACTAGTTGCTTAAGTAATAGCAGCCATTATTATTACTATTATACTTACTGAAATAGAAATTGTGATAAAGTTATACTAATGTAACCTTTTCAAAATTGGGGGCTTACATAAATGGTTTTTATAAGTAAGCTTATATTACTAATCCAAGTCAGAAATGCTCCAAAATCCAAGACTATTTGAGTTCAACAGTATACCCTAAGAGGAAAATTTCATGCCTGCATGTGACAGGTCATAATCACAAGCTATGTGTATAAGGTGTATAAGAATTTCATGTTTAGACTTAGATCCCATCCCCAGTATGGCTCATTATGTATATGCAGATATACTAAAACCCCCCAAATTAGAAATCTGAAACACTTCTGGTCCCAAGTATTTTGGATAAGGGATACTAAAGCTATGATGAGAATTCCTGTATTAGTATTTGATGTTATTTTTAGCTAAACAGCTATCTAGGAAGAAATACTTCTTTGTTTCTTAAAGTTTGACATTGAAGCCTGGCATGGTAGCATATGCCTCTAATCCAGCAACTTGGTAGGCTGAGGTAGGAGCATTGCAAGTTCCAGGTCTTGGCAACTTATGAGACCCTATCTCAAAATTAAAAAGAAAAAAAAAAAAAAGTTGTGTTCTGGGGTTTTAGTACAGTGGTAGAGCACCCCAAGGGTTCAGTACTTAGTACCACAAATTAAAAAAAAAAAAAAAAGTGAAAAATATAAATTGATTTTGAACTTCTCTTTTCAGTGTCATCCAACATGATTGAACGATCTGTAGTGGAAACCGCAGTCCAGGAATGCAGTCAATCTGTTGATGAAACTATGTATGTGGGTACAATGAACTTTGCTCCCTAATGGAAGTGTTTTTGAGTGCTTATTTTTTTTTTTTAAATTTGTTCAACAGGTATTTATTTATTGTTGAGTTTATCACTTTCTTGGGGAAATAATTAGTGGCCAACATTTTTACAGTGGTAGCTGCTGCTAATTCTATTTTTTTTAAGAGATAAGGCTGGGCTGGGATTGTGGCTCAGTGGTAGAGTGCTTGCCTAGGCAATTTAGCATGACCCTATTTCAAACAAAATAATAAAGGCTGAGGATGTGGCTCAGTGGTAGAGCGCTTGCCTACCGTGCTTGAGGCCCTGGGTTTATCACCTAGTACCACAGTGAGAAAGAAAGAAAAAAGAAATTAAAAATGATTACACTGAAGTTCAAGGATTACAATCTAAAATGGGTATTACCCATTGTTTACCATAAAGTTATCTGTTGTTTCTGTCAGGCTTTTTATGTACTGTCACCAACCAGTTTAGAAGTCCAGTGGAAACTGAAGAGTGAAAGGTCTTTGTAGCTGCAGTTGTCAGAAAGTCATCATATCAAAGCATGAGAGAGACTCTCAGTTTCATAGATTAAGAAACTAATATGCCAAGAGTGATAGAAAATAGTGGAGAAAATAGTGGAGCTGTTTTTGGAATTTAGATTTTCTTCAATTCTACTGATTTTTTGCTACTCTCGTTAATACCAGGGTGGTGTGAACCTTGTTTGACCATTTTCAATTTGGGAGATAAACAAAATGTTTTAGATGGGAACACTTACGAAATGGTGGTATAAATTTTTTAACCTCATTTAAACATCATTGTATTATTAACAGAGTCTGAAATTAAGTTATTTCATTGGTTTTCTATCTAACACTATATAAATTTCAAGATATGGCCAGTGTGGGGGGGTTATTTTTCTATTATAAAACTTCCTTAGACAGTTTCCACATAATCTTCTAAATTTAAAAAATTGTTGGAAGTGAATCATATGCTTCTTTTATGCTTCATATATTGTGGCTTATAAAAGAAGTAGATACAGGGAGAGATTTTAAATGGGTCTATTATGTACAAATGTTCTTTCAATGGATGACATTCTTTTTTTTTTTTTAAATATTTTGTAGTTGTGTATGGACAGCATGCCTTTATTTTATTTGTTAATTTTTATGTGGTGCTAAGGATCGAACCTAGTGCCTCACATGTGCTAGGCAAGTGCTCTACCACTGAGCTACAACCTCAGCCCAGATGACATTCTTAATTAGAAATTAACTTGATAATTTTTTTTTCTTGAGAGAATTGAGAATGTTTCCTTGTCTCTTCCAAGGAGAATGTAATGTACAAGTTAAAAACTTTACCCTTGTTAACTTTTTCTTTTTTCTAAATATTTTTATTTGTTCATTATAATTATACATAATAGTGGGATTCATTCTGACATATTTGTACATGTCTATCCTCCATGTTATTTAAAAAAATTTTTTTTTATCTGTAGATGGATATAAACCTTTATTTAATTAATTTATTTTTATGCGGTGCTAAAGCTTAAACCCAGTGCTTCACATGTACTGGGCAAGTGCTCTACCACTGAGCTACAACCCCAGCCCTAGCAAGTTATTTGTGACACTATAAGAAATTGTGTATATGGACTGAGAAAATGTGAAAGATCTGCTATATATGATACAGGATTATAATGCAAGTTATGTTTACCTAGAATATTTATGTTTTAGTAAATGAGCTCTGTGTTTTGTGGGATGTTTTTCAGAGAGCATATTTTCAATATCATAGGAGCTTTTGATGTTCCACGTTTTCTGTACAATTCGGAAAGAAAAAAATTTCTTCCGTAAGTATATCATCTATTGATTTTAAGTTAATTTAGGATGTGCATTTTTTTTCAAAAGGTATGTGATCTCATGTTTCACTTTTGGCCTATCTTTGTGACAGTAAAAGAAGTCATTCTTTTTTTTTCCTAGTCTATTAATGACCAACCACCCTACACCAAATTTATTTGGAACTGCAAGAGATAAAGCAGAGCTATATCGTGAACGATATACCATTTTGCACCAGGTAAGTTGGAGGGTGGAAGCATTGGTAATGTGAGGAGAAAAAAGACCAATTTTGCTTTCAGAAAAATCTCAGGAATTTTTTAAGGATGGAATTTTGTAGTGCAAAGTTAGTCTTTTAATAAAATATTATTGGGCTTACTGAGATTGAGACTATATTCCTCTTAGCAATGATGATAAAAGTAGTAGCTAACTTTTAATAAATGATTTTGATAGGCCAGGCACTGTGTTTAGTACTTTACCATACATAATCCTCTCACGCTACTAGGTATGTATAAATGTTATCACTATCCCTTTTTACAGATGTAGAAAATGAGGCCTAGAGAAGTTTAGTAACTTGTCCCCTTGTCTAGTAAGTAAGTAGAGATAGGATTTTAATACAGTCTGCCTGACTCTGGAGCCCAGTCTTTGCCTACTGTACTATATACTACCTTCAAACAAAGTAGAATTTTGTATGTGTTTTAAAAGAAGATGCATTCAGTGGAAAAGTCAGGGAAAGCTTCAAGGAGTGATAGCATTTTACATGGGTTGTGTGTAAATGGAGAAAAGGTAGTCATAGCCCAGTGTGGTGGTATACACCTGTAATCCCAGGAGCTTGGAAGACTGAGGCAGGAGGATCGAGAGTTCAAAGCCAGCCTCAGCAAAAGTAAGGCACTAAGCAACTCAGTGAGACCCTGTCTCTAAATAAAATAAAAATAGGGCTGGGGATGTTGCTCTGCAGTCAAGTATCCCTGAGTTCAATCCCCAGTACCAAAACAAAAATGTGGCCGTAACAGTGAACAAAGACCGGCAAAGCAAAAAATGGATTCTGTAGAGTAGATGTTGAACAGTCAGGAGTAGCATAAGGTGTTTGGAAAGGCAAGTGGGAACCGAATCATGGGAGCACTTTGGATGCCACTCTTGGAAGTTGGGACTCTGTTCTTTTGGTACAGAGAGCCTTGGAATACCAGACAAAATCAGTCACAGCTGAGTCTTGTGAGTGCTTCCTCTATCAGCAGATTTGAGAATGAATTAGAGTGTGAGAGAAGACAAGGGAATCTGTGGAATTACTCCTGGCATAAATTATTGTCTGGATAAAAGAAAGTAGCAAGTGGGGTAGAAAGAAGTAACAACTCTAGAGCTGCAGAAAACATCATTCATGGTGACTGACTGAATGTGAAGGAGAAGGGAGAGGTGAAGAATCAAAGATAAATACAGGCTGGGTGCATATGCCTATAATCCCAGCGCCTATAGTCCCAGCAGTTTGGGAGGCTGAAGGAGGAGGATCCCAAGTTCAAAGCCAACCTCAGCAACTTAGAAAGGCCCTGAGCAACTCAGTGAGACCCTGTCTCTAAAAAAAATATAACAAAAGGCTGGAGATATGACTTAGTGGTTAAGTGCCCCTGGGTTCAATCCCTGATACCAACAACAAACAAACAAACAAAGAAGTCTAGAGGTTTGCTGGTTTCAAGCATGGCTAGATCCAGGTGCTCACACAATGTCATGAGGCATCTGTCTTTTCCTGTGTTCTCTTTCTATAAATTGATTATACTTTCAAACAAGTTCTCTCTTTGAAGTGACAAAGATGGCCACTAGTAGCCTTAGCAACTCTCTCTTTCCAATAGTCTTAACAAAAGTCTCAACTCTCTCTTTTCTAATAGTTGTAACAGAAATCATGAATATTTCTCCTGTTGGCTTAGCTTGAGGCACTAGATCATCCCTGGATCAGTCACTAGTCAAGAAGACAGAGTACTTTGATTTTCTAAGCCTTGGTAGCTCGTCCATAAAAGGGGAGAAGGGAGAGCAGCCCTACCTATGCTGCATGAATGAGGGGGGAAGGAGGGGAGTACTGATTCATCAAATAGTTGCTCTTACTAATCTCTTGCCTTGTCTGACATTCTGCCTTGTGCACCCTGAGACAGGCTGTACCAAACTCTACATAGCTTCCCACACGCTCGTTTACTCTTATGCTTCTTTCTTTGGACATGCCTATCTCTCTCCCTATAGTGTTGCAGCCTGCTTTTATTCCTTTTTTTAAATTCATTTAGCATCTTGTTAAATGACACCTTTGACCCATTGCATAGTCAATTCCCACAGTACTTTGTTGTACAGTGGCATAGCTTTTTCACTGACTTCAGTGCTTAGCTTTTTAATATTTTTCTTGTTTTAAAAGCTACTAGAGGAGCTGGTATTGTAGCTCAGTGGTAGAGTGCTTGCCTAGCATATGTGAGACACTAGGTTTGATTCTCAGCATATAAATAAATGAATAAAATAAAGGTCCATCAATGTCTAAAAAAATTTTTTTTAAAAAGTTAGTAGATATTTGTATATTGATAAATTATATGGGTTTTCAATTTTGTTGAGAGTAGGTAACAGGCTGGGTTCATGGTGCATACCTGTAATTCCAGCAACTTGGGAGGTTGAGGCAGGAGGATTGCAAGTTTGAGGCTAGTTGTGGATGTCGCTCCTGGGTTAAATCCCCAGTGCCAAAAAAAAAAAAAAATAGGTAACAGTTAAGTGACAGTGTTTCATCATCACACTACTCAAATGCATCTTAGATCCCTGCCTCCCAGTACTGGAGGCTGAACCTAGGGGTGCTTTATCACTGAGCTATACCCCTAGCCCTTCTTAGATTTTATTTTGAGACAGGGTCTCACTAACTTGCTGAGGCTGGTTTCAACTTTGGAATCCTCCTGCCTCAACCTCCTCAAGGGCTGGGATTACAGTTGTGTCTACTATACCTGATTTGAATCTTAGTTTTGAATGTCTGCTTCTATAACTCAAGGGAATCTTTTTTTTTTTTTTTCCTAGAGGACCCACAGGCATGAATTGTTCACTCCTCCAGTGATAGGTTCTCAACCTGATGAAAGCGGAAGCAAATTCCAGGTTAGAATATTATTCTAATTATTTAGGGGGGTATAAGCATAAGAGTTTAATTTTGATTGCTTAATTTTAATTCACTGTATTTTACATGAAAGTGAACTACTGTAAATGTTTAACTAACTGGCCTGGCTGTGTGCCTGCTGTTGATAAAGTCCACACCTACTATCCTGGGTCCTGTAGATGTCCATTGGAAGTTGTACTTCTTCTTTGGAGCAAGACTGAATACCAGGATAGACCCTGGGTACTCTCTGGCCTCAAAGACAGTTCTTAGACCTCCCAGTCCAGTGCTGGATACTGTACTGGCTTTCTGACCAACTTTTCAACATTACCCTTCCTGCTCTTACTCATCTGTGAAATTCTGGCCCCTGCCCATCCCTGTCATGATCACCACAAACTTGGTCAACTAAATCTGATACGCTATGTCATTGGAGTGAATACTTAAGGAAACACTGGCTTCAATCACCAACACACACACACATACACACACACACACACACACAGATTCAAAGGAAGCAACACTTACAGAACGAATGAGAATACAGACTGGCTCTAGAGTTGGTGAAACTTGAAGAAAGAGAAGATGTTTTCTGTTGAGTTTGAGCTCCTTCCATTTCTATACTCTTGTATTTTGGAAAGCAGGTACCAAACAGCACTGTCACTTCATTTCAGCAATTTACCCGGCCACTGTCAGTCCATCTGTGGCTCTGTCTCATTTCTCTAGCATGCAGGACCCTGCTAGGGACTAGTTCTTATCTTCTACTTCCATGTAGGTTTCATTGCCATGAGGCTTTGAAGAGATTTTAATGTTCATATTAGATCAGAACTCATGAGTATTCTGTTAGAAGTGAAAATAGTGATACTGGATAACATTCAAAGAAATGTTCAATGGCAGCACTGCAAAGAGATAACACAGTGTTTGACAGTTTCTGCTTTTAACTTTTATTAAGTATACATCCTGTTATGTTTTGGAAGTTGACATGATTTATATTTCGTTACTGAAGACTGTTCTGTCTCTATGTTTTCCTTCTACATATTAAGTTTTCTGTGATAAGTCAGATGCCCACAGCCCAGAAGCATTTTTAATCTTTTCTTAGCTTAGCTAAATGACTCATTGCTCTTTTCAATCTTTCTGTTTAATTCTATATCTGTGCAGGTACATTTCCTATTTAAACTACATTTATAATACCTGAACAGTAAAACTGCCTTTATAGACTACAGAAACTGTATTCAGAAATATATTGTCATATCTTTGTATTCTTATGTTGTTTTAGTCTCTCTCCCTCTTTCTTTTTTTTGATAGCACTGGGAATTGAACCTAGGGCTTTAAGCATGGAAGGCAAGTGCCCTACCACTGAGCTACATTCCAGCCCTAAGCTCATGTTTTTAAGTGAACTCCAGTAGTAAATGTTAATGATGGGGTTATGCATGTCTATGTGCCTTCCTTATCTATATTCAAAAATTTTAAAATAGTAAACATGGATTATTTACAATAAAAATATGGCAAAGATAAAAGAATGGTATAGGAATGAGAAATTATATATCTTTTTATCCAGTGATTCCATTTGGAATTTGTAGAAATCCTTCAAGAGTTATCCATACAGCAGGCCAAGGAAGGAACTTAGAAATATTAAGCATTGTTTTCACTGCAGAAAACTGGGAACAACCGAACTGTTCTTTAATAAGCTTTTCATAAAATGTTGGATGTGCAGTAGGCTGTTGGTATCTGAGAGGGGTTGTTTATGGGACTGCTCCCCTGAGGACACTGAAGTCTGAGGATGCTCAAGTTCTTTATGTAGTAAGATGTCATAGTATCTGCATATAGCCTAGACAGCTCCTCCTTTATACTTCATATCATCTCTAGATTACTTATAACACCTAATACAATGTAAATGCTATATAAATAATTATTATAATGTATTGCATAGGTACATGTTCAGTGGAGGCACAATTTTTTTTCCAAATATTTTTGATCCAGAGTTGGTTGAATCCACAGAAGTGGGATTCATAGACATGAAGGACTATATGTGTATTTATGCATATGTAAGAATATGTGTAGGGGGCTGGGTTGTAGCTCAGTGGTAGGACACTTGCCTAACACACGTGATGCACTGGGTTTGATCTTCAGCACCACATAAAAATAAATAAAGATGTTGTACCAATCTAAAATAATAATAATAATAATAAAGAGTATGTATAGGGGTTAGGGTTGTAAAGCTCCATGGTGGTAGCATACTTACCTAGCACACGTGAGGCACTGGTTTCAATCCTCAGCACCACATAAAAACAAATAAATAAAATAAAGGTTAAATTCTTAAAAAAAAAAAAAAAAAGATTATGCACAGGAAAAAAACATAAAAGAATGATTTAAAAATAATGCCTGAATAAACTTTCTGATTAAAATTATAATGGTCAGATTGAGCATATAAATCATAACCTTTCAAAATACTAAATTGAATCAGAATATAACTTTAAAAAGCTAATTTTTGATAAGTACCAATCAAATAAATAAAATCAATATTCTTTTCTATATTAAAAAAAATAAATGTTCTTAGTTTTTAGAGTAAGTAGTCATGCAGCTTCAATCATTGATCAAGACCTGAACTGATATATTTCCTTAAGCATAGTTTTTCTGATCCATCATATACTTGATAGTATACCTTTGTAAGATAAAATTTAACTTTCTAAGTTTCATTTTATTTTTTTAATATTTTTTAGTTGTCAATGGACCTTTATTTTACTTATGTTATGTGGTGCTGAGAATTGAACACAGTGCCTCACACATGGTAGGCAAGCGCTCTTCTACTTAGCCACAACCACAGCCCCTAAGTTTTTTTTTAAATTTTATACTGTGATGTAGCTGTAAATAATAAAATGTGAACTTATTTATAAAATGATTGGTTTTTAAAAGAATATATTTTCAATCTTTAAGAATTTGTATTGTTTTTATTTTAGCTTAAAACAATAGAAACCTTATTGGGTAGTACAACCAAAATTGGAGATGTGATTGTTCTTGGAATGATAACCCAATTAAAAGAGGTAAGTTAAACTTAGTAGGCATCAGACTTATTTTCAAACTGATATTGAAATGTTGGTGCCATAGAGCATTTCTGAAGAGTACAAGATCATCTTCTTCACTGAAAACTCTTACTTCATTCACCAAGTTAGCATTTTTATCTGTGCTTGGTTTCCTGAGCAGACATCAGGAAGGAGTATCTATCTATTCCAGGTGCTCAATTTGCATAGCCTGAAATTAGGCCCCAGTGTCCTCTAGTTGAACTGAAATTCTGGGTTTCTGTACAAGCAAACTGCACACCACATCCTGGTCCCCTCAAGATGCTAGTGGCTCCCATAGATGAAGGCACCCAGTGAGGCTGGAGTCCCTCTTGTGACCTTTCAGTCTGTAGCAGTCATTCCTCAGGGTACCTGTGAGGAATCTGAATCTCAATTTAGTGATTAATCTGAGGTGGCCAAACTAGTATAGTAAATGTTAAAGCCTCAACTTGGAATTGCCAATATGTAAGAATCCATGTTCTCTCTACTACATTCAATTGTCAAACTTGTCAGTATTTTAATTATTTGGCTATAGTATTGATTTTTGCATATGTATGAATATATTTCATTTCATTTCATTTTTGCATAATTGTGAATATGTTTCCATTTCATTCTGTTTTAGGGAAAATTTTTTCTTGAAGATCCTACTGGAACAGTACAATTGGATCTTAGTAAAGCTATATCCTTCAATTTTAAAAATCAAGTTAAAAAATTGTAGCTCAGTGGTAGAGAACTTGCCTACCATGTGTGAGGCACTGGGTTTAATCCTCAGCACCACATAAAAATAAATAAGTAAAATATGGGTATTATGTCCATCTATTAAAAAAATAATAATCTGCATTACAGGACTGGAGGTATAGCTCAGTGGTAAAATGTTCTCCTAGCATACATGAGGCCTTGTGTTCAATTCTTAGCACTGCAGGAAAAAAAAAAAAAGAAACAAAGAAAGAAAGAAATTAATGGTGAAATGTAACTAATTGTAACTTATTTTTATATACTAGTAGCATAGGAATATAGACAGAATTCTAAACACAGACAAAACTACTTTAATTCCTTTTTATTTGGAGTCTAGACAATCACTGAAGAAGTTTATAACACATTAAGAATGATTTCAATTGTCAGTATACCAAGCTTCTACATCTTAAATTATTAAAAATTATTTAAATCAAATTATTATTTAATTTAAATTAAATTATTTAAATTAGTTATTTAAATTATTTAAATTAAAATTATTTATATTATTTTTTAGGGCATTTAAATCTAAAAAACCTAAGCTGTGATCTAAGCTGTGGACTATATTCATAGTTTAAAATGTTCTTTGTTTCTTCTTTTTTTTTTGCTTGATAAACAGAAATTTATTTCTCACAGTTCTGACTTCTGGGAAGTGCACAGGCTGATTTGGTTCCTGGTCAGGACCTTCTTCCTGGCTTCTAGACAGTTGTCTCATTGCTGTGTCTACACATGGCAGAAGGAGAGAGCTCTTCTGTTCCCGTCCCCCCGTTTTAAATCAACTTTTTATTTATTTTTTTCTCCTTCCACATTTTTTATTGGTGCATTATAGTTATACATAATGATGGGATTTGTTGTTACATACTCACACATGCATACAATATAACTATAATTTGGCCAATATCACTTTCCCCCTTCCCTGTCAAGTGCAAAATTTTTGAATTTATTATTTAGAAGTCTGTCTGGGCTCAAAATGTATGTTGACTTTATTACCACCGTAAGGGGAGAAACAATTGTTTTCCTCAATGGTCGTGTACCAGTTCCACAGTGGTTTATACACAGAGGCATGCTTCGTTTTAGCAGAGGGTAAGTCAGTATACTCTTTTTCTTGTCTTCCTCTTTGTTCTATAGTAAAAACCATTTCTACATTGGGTAAGTTACGTTGAAGTTGACATGATATAGTTTGGGAAAACATTGATATCTTTTTTTTTTTTTTTTTGGTACTGGAGATTGAACCCAGGGGCAGATCTCCAGCTCTTTTTTTTTTTTTTCCTTATTTTGAGATATAGTGTCTCACTAAGTTGCTTAGATCCTTGTTAAATTGCTGAGGCTGGCCTTGAATTTACAATCCTCCTGCCTCAACCTCCTGAGTTGCTTGGATTATAGGCATGTGCTACCATGCCTGCTCTGGAGAGTATATTCTTGAGACCATAAAGTAAATCTTAAGACTGATAACAGGCTAATAGAAACCTTTTGCTAATAAAAATATTTAAAATTAGTAGAGATAGTAGTGTGATATTCAAGTATACTAGAAATTGCTGGATTGTGTACTTATAAAGGGTGTATGGTATGTGAATTTTATCTCAATAAAGTTAAAAAAACTCAGATTATACATAGGGGTCATAAAATGAAATATTTCCTAATCTATGTATCTAATCTCCATATTTCAGCATGACTGAAAATTTAAAAAAAATAGGATCCCCAGCACAATGAGAAGTCTATTTTTATTTAAGGTGCTCTTATTTATTCAATTTAGACTTTCTGTGACTCTGAAATTGTTGTGCAGCTCAGTTGGATTGGTGGTACCTTTTGTAGTTAGTTAATAGCCGTGAGGTTATAGCCTAGGATTACTATCTTGTGTAATAGTTTTGTCCTTTCGCACAGGGAAAATTGACAAATAGAAGTGATTTGTTGCCTATCTTTTTTCAGGTTGGTTTGAAGATCAAGTATTTCATGTCAACGCCTTTGGATTTCCACCCACTGAACCTTCTAGTACTACAAGGTATAAAAATGTTTGACTTCAACTCTACAGGGATTTTATTATACTGGCAGTAGTAAATATAAGGTATATATCATACCGCAGTTATTACAGGTCTGAGGCTTTGTGTCAAGATGGAAAGAGCAATGGAAATATGAGAAAATTAGGTTTTATAATAACATAACTGTGGAATTAGCATTTTGGCTGGATATTAGTTGCTGTAGCATATCTGATTGTTGGCTTTAACTGGAAAAGATTTCCAGTCTGCTTTTCTTACCTGTCCATAAAGATTGATGAGAAGTTTTCAAGTGAGGTCAGAGAGATAGGAAAATACTTAGAATATGATTCCTATATTAATATAAAGGTTTATTTATTTATTTGTATTCTACAAATGAATGAAAGTTCCAAGATGCAGTTCATAGCACCTTAATATAAACAAAAGCATCCTAACATTGGAGCTACTCCAAAAGGGCCTCTCTGAGGAGGGTCAGTTCCCTTTCACTCATGATATTTGAGCAGAGGCTGAATGATGGTAGAAGTTTAGCTGGGACCTAAGAGTTGAATGTGATTTGTAGACCTCCTCTCCCGGCCCTACAGTGTTAAAAAGTTTTTTTAAAGCTAGTTTCCAAGGTATATTAATTTGATTTCTCATAAAAAGTCTTGGTTTCTGAATTCTCTTGAACTTTCAGATCTGACGATTATGGCATCTGAATTCTCACGGGGCAAAACTTAAACCATAGTGACTGCCTACCATGGGCAAGGCTATGTGTGTGCTAGTTGGCCTTAGCTGACTAATGCTTTGATATTTAGTGTTATGTTCATGGAGCCTATAAACATTTGAATATTCCTCTTGCTCCCATTTTTACACCTTATATTTCATGAACCAAGGAAGGAAGATATTTGTAAGGCTTTTTTTCACCTTTAATTTCTCAAAAATCATCTTAATCAGTGTCTTTTTGTGATGCTCTGGTTTATGTTTGGTGTAAAATTAATTTAAATAATCATACAATTATATCTACTTACCACATTCCTCTAATCACTGCAAGATTTTCATTAACATCAGACCTCTGAAAATGCCATGGTCAGTTGGTGGTGGTAGTAACAGTTATTATGTCTGAATACTCACATTATAGTAAGCACTGTGCGCTAAGGGCTTTCTGCAAATTATATCTTTTATTCCCTCTAGTAACCATGAGCAATAGGTATGAGTTTAGCCATATTGCATTTGAGAAATAGGGGTTTTAAAGGACTGATTAATTCGTCACATGTCACACTTGTTAGTAACAGAGATGTGCTTTGATCCCCAAATTTCTGACTCCAAACATTATGCTACATTAGATAAGTAATTGAATTATTAAAACAGTTTCAGGGCATGGGGGGCTAAGGGTTTGCTCAGTGGTGAGTATGTGTCAGGCCGTGAGTTCAATCCCCTGCACACAAGGTTTTCTTCAGATTACAAATGAAGTACATGATTGCAGAAATTAAGTAGAAAATATATAAAGGCATAAAAAAGAAAAGTATTATCTGGAATTCTATTAAAACAGACTATTAAGATTACTTAATATATATATTACATGTTAAGGATATTATACATTAAGTATAATATGTATTATACTTAACAAATTATGTATATTACTTATATATAATATAGGTATTATGTATATATATAATACTTAGAATATTGTTTATATTTATACATAATGTACATATTATTTGTGTTCATAAATTTACAATACTACATATAATATATGCATATATAGCATACATCAAATAAATTCTCATTATTCATGGTTCTAGCTTTCTCAATAAAATCTGACTATAAACTAATACTGCTGTAGCCATGGTGGTTCCAAGAACATGAACCAAGAAAGGAAGATATTTGTAAGGTTAGAACAGTGGAAAATTTGAGTTGGCCAGGCATTTATGATCCCAGCAGAGGTGGAACAAGGTGACATTAGAAGATGACCTGAGGAAAGAGACTGAAATGGCAGTGCAGGGCAGTGCAAGCAGCTCCAGCTCCTCTATGGTATGTCTGGTGGAAGTAGGAGTCTGTATCTGGTCCCTTTTTTGGCACTATAAAAGGATGCATACTGGGCATTCCTTTGTAACCTGTTTTTTAAAATTTAATACTATGTAGTCAACCTTTTCTGTTAACTGTGAATTATTGTATTATTGCATGATTTGTGACATTTAGCATATTTTCAATTGTTATAATTACATAGGGCATACTATGGAAATATTAATTTTTTTGGAGGGCCTTCTAATACATCTGTGAAGACTTCTACAAAGCTGAAACAACTGGAAGATGAGAACAAAGATGCCATGTTTGTATTTGTATCTGATGTTTGGTTGGACCAAATGGAAGTACTGGAAAAACTTCACACAATGTTTTCTGGTAGGGGGTTATTTTTTTCTATTCTTTTTTGAACTGCTATGAGAGTTCATATATTAAAACTAAATTCTTGCCAAGTTCTAGCTACCCAAGAGGCTGGAGTAGGAAGATTGCTTGAGACTATCAGTTCAAGAACACCCTAGGCAACATACTGAGATCTGGTCTCAAAAAGCAGAAAAACAAAAACAAAATGATAAATTCTTTTTTAAAATTGTACATTTTTGAGTACTTTGTTTTAAAAAAAAAAACCTGTATCAGGAATGAGATATTTTAAATAAAATTTTATTTTAAAGATTTATATTTTTACGTTTGAAAAATAACTATATGCCAGGCATGTGCATGACTGTAATCCGAGCTACTTGGGAGACTCAGACCAAAGGATTGCAAATTTGAAGCCAGCCTTGGCAACTTAGCCAGACCCTATCTTAAAATAAAAAGGGATAGGGATATAGTTCAGTGGTGGAGTGCCCTTGTGTTCAATTAAAAAAAAAAAAAAGAATGAAAATAAAGTTATATGTGTGTATGTTCATAATAAATTAGAATTAGTCATTAGTATAACTAAAGAAAATGGATAAAATCTAGGGCTTTGAAATCTAACATAACTGAGTATAAATGCCAGCCTAATACCTTGGGCAGATTATGTAATCTCACCATAAGTCTCAGTTTGGAGGAAATTTCTGAGGATTAAATAAGCCATAGCAGGGCTGGCACATACTAAGTTCTCAGTAAATTGTTATTATTATTATTATTGTTTGAATAAAATAAGGTATTATTAAAATAGATTTTTCTTAATTAAAAACTTATGGTAAGGGGCTGGGTGTATAGCTCAGTGATAAAGTACTTATCTAGCACATGTGAGGCCTTGGGTTTGTTCCCCAACATTGTTAAATAAAAAAAAGGAGTCTTGAAAAGCCAGGTGCAGTGGCATGCCTGTAGGCCCAGCTACTTGGGAGGATAAGGCAGGCGAATTGCTTGCCCATGAGCTAAAAGGCTTTAAATTTGATTTCCAGAGTAGAAAAGTGATGTTCTTTTATTCTTCAGGCTATTCACCAGCACCCCCAACCTGCTTTATTTTGTGTGGTAACTTTTCATCAGCACCATATGGAAAAAATCAAGTTCAAGCTTTGAAAGGTATTGATTATTAATAAGTGTTTATATATAGTATAAACTAAATTGATGAAAAAATTATCCATATTTTAATTTCACTCAAAAGATGTAGGGTTACATTTAATCAGATATAATTTGAGGTGGTTATAGCAGTGCATGCCTATTCCAGTGACTTGGGAAGCTGAGGCAGGAGGATTGATAAGACCAACCTCAGCAATTTAGCGAGGCCCTAAGGACTTAGCAAGACCCTGTCTTAAAATAAAACATATAAAAAGGGCTGAGGAATGTGGTTCAGTGGTTAAGTGACTCTTGGTTCAATGTGGGCACACATACCCCAAATATATATGTAATATATATAATTTGATTTTTATTTGTATTATATATAACTTAAATTTAATATCCTTTTAAAATTTTAGATTCTCTAAAAACTTTGGCAGACATAATATGTGAATACCCAAATATTCACCAAAGGTAATGATTTCTACTGCTGTATTTTTTATTGAAAAAATTTTATTTAAAAAAAAAGAGTCTTAAGGTTTATACCAGTAATTATTAAGAAACCAAGAAAAAGTTGAGGAAATTGAAAGAATTAAGAGACAAAATTATCCTTACATCATAATATGTTATACTTCTATAGATTCATAGTGAAAAGTATTGAAAAGGAGAATTATAATTTCAGTCATATTTTTTGATGACATTACTGGTCCAGAACTCTGCCTTTCAATATGATAATCACTGGTCACATGTGTCTCTTTAAATATAAAGTTAAATTAAAGTTGAATAAGATCTGAAATTCATTCTACCAGCCATACTATCTACAGTGCCAGTACTCTATAATTGGGCAGTTTAAATACAGGACATTCTATCATCACGCTTCTAGACAGTGTTGGGCTAGAGACATTTAGCAGTTTATTACAATGCATAAAATTTTAAAGATTAAAAACCCCAGGAGTGAATTAAAGGCAGTGACTGTTTTTAGACTGCTGGATGGTGATGCCATATTATTATGCTTTAAAATGAATTATGTTGAATTTCACTGCAGTAGTCGTTTTGTGTTTGTACCTGGTCCGGAGGATCCTGGGTTTGGTTCCATCTTACCCAGGTAACTTTTATTTATATTTTTACAACAGTCAAGAAAATTCTGCAAAACTTAAAAATATATACTTTATCAGATCAATTGTTTTTTTTGTAGGCCACCACTTGCTGAAAGCATCACTAATGAATTTAGACAAAGGGTACCATTTTCAGTTTTTACTACGAATCCTTGCAGGTAAATAATAGTTATTACTCTTATACATTTTTCCTTTCATTAGAAATTAACTTCTGGGGGCTGGGGTTGTGGCTCAGTAGTAGAGCACTCTCCTAGTACTTGTGAGGCCCTGGATTCGATCCTCAGCACCACAAATGAATGAATGAATGAATGAATGAATGAATGAATGTATTGTGTCAACTACAACTAAAAATATATACATTTTTTAAAAAAGCTCAGTTGTTGGAGTGCTACCCTCGGATGCACAAGAGCTTGGGGTCAATCCCTAGCACCACCAAAAAAAAAAAAATCTTCAAATTTGTTTATGTATTTTGACTGTTAAGGAATAATATGAAAAGAAATTTTGCTTTTATTTTGGATTACTCAAAACATTGAAAATATTTTAAGTACATTTAAAATTTTTTCCAATAGTAAATTTAGGAACTTAAATAATAGATGGATTTTTAAAAATAGATAAATATCATTTCTGTATTGGCAACTCTCATATTTTGTCTCTAGCTCACATCTTTCTCCCAGACTCATGGATCCAGTTTCCTACTTATTCTCTCTCCTTGGTTATCCAGGAGACAAGTGAACTCTGATCTTCCTCCCTGCCACCACCCCCTTATCTCTTCTGCAGCCTTCCCCTATCCTCGTTGATGGCACACTTAACCTTCTAGTTGTTCCGGCCAAATCACACAGTTTTCAGCTAGTCCTGTAAACTTCAGAATACATCCAGAATTTTATCACCTCTCTATCCCTCCTGTATGACTCTCTACTAATCTTCTCTAGCCTGGGATACTATGATTGCCTCTTAATTGGTCTCTGGTTTCTACCATTTCCACTCTATGGTCTATTTTTTTTTTTTTTAGTTGCTCAAGACAATACAATCATCTTTTGACATATCATACATTTGATTCCAATAGGGTATGAATTCTCATTTTTCCACGTGTACACCCTGCAGGATCACATTGGTTATACATTCATGTGTATACATACAGCAATCCTAGTGTCAGTTGTATTCTGCTGCCCTCCCTATTCCCCCTCCTCTCCCCTCCCTCCCATCACTTCTCTCTACCCATTCTACTGTGACACTTATCTCTCTTTTTTTTTCTTCCCTTCCCTCTCACACCATCGTATATATATTTTGTGAGACCTTGAGGGTCTCCTTCCATCTTCCGTGAAATTCCCCTTCTCCCTCCCATTCCCTCCCACCTCTTTTCCTTGTTTCATGGTAATCTTCTTCTTATGCTCTTCCTCCCTACTCTGTTTTGAGTCACCTCTCTTATATAGAGAAGACATTTGGCATTTGTTTTTTATGGATTGGCTAACTTCACTTAGCATAATCTGCTCTAATGCCATTCATTTCCCTGCAAATGCCATGATTTTGTTATTTTTTAATGCTGAGTAATATTCCATCTATTCTTAACACTATCTCAAAGTGAGTAAGGCATATCATGTCCACCTTCCTGATCATGACAAATGGGGCCCCTCATATATCCTTACAGTGGTAATCAAGGTCCTACAGGCATAATCTGACTCCCTATTATTTCTCTGACTTTCTCTTTCCCCTTTTACTCCCTTCATACCAGCCTTACTCTATTCTTCAAGCATGCCAGGCATGCTCCAATCTTAGGGTCTGTGCTGTACCCCCATTTCCCTTTCTTTTTCTTTTTCTATTAAATTTTTTTGTAGTTGTAGATGGACAGAATGTCTTTATTTGTTTATTTTTAGGTGGTGCTGAGGATCAAACCCATTGCCTCATGCATGCTAGGCAAGCGCTCTTCCACTGAGCTACAGCCCCAGCCCATATTCCCCCTTTCTTTTTTTATCATATATTTTTTTCTGAGGAAGTCAAATTCAACTTTTCATTCTTAAATGTTTTTATTATTGCGTTATACATACTATTGGGAATCATTTTGATATTCATAAATGTATATGACATCATTTGTTCCGTTTCAACTTATTTTCTTAGAATTCAGTATTGTACACAAGAAATTATCATCTTTCGTGAAGACTTAGTGAATAAAATGTGTAGAAACTGTGTCCGTTTTCCTAGTAGCAATTTGGATATTCCTAATCATGTAAGTAAAGAGTACTTTTCTTTATTAAACTATCTTATGTTATATTATACAAAATGTTGGTAAGCCACTTAATAATTTGCCTTTATATGTTGAAGTTTACTTGTGGTTCAAAATAATTTGAATAAACTTTTGTCAGTAAGTTAATTTTTGTTAGTCATTATTTCTCAGCTTTCTACTGAAAAATTCCCTAATGAGTCAGAGGAGAGCCCAGAATAAGCAGATTTCTTTGAAGCTTTCTGCTTTGCCTTTAAAATTATTAAATTGTGCTACAAAATATATGTACATATTTATCATACTTATTACATATTTCCTATGGTGTGTGCACACCAGAAGGATGAGTAAATTTTAGTCTTGTAGCTTCCAGGTTCCCTGACATGGAGTTGTCAAGGGTTACATGGTTACATGTACCCTCATTTGAGAAGTATGGCAGTAGATTCTACTGAACAGTTTTAAATTTTATTTTATAATATTTAATGTTATGCAAGCTAAATACTGGATCTTGGCTTTATTCAAGCTATGAGATATTTTGGGGTGAAAAGAATTAGTTTATTATATGGTTATAAGTACACATAAGTGAATTAAATGTGTAGAAACTGTGTCTGTTTTCCTAGTAGCAATTTGGATTAAAATAATCCAGTGTGACTATTTGTGAGAATTGCCATTATGGTATGTGATATCAGATGAAAACTTATATATTTTCCTAAGATTCAGAATAATTATTTAGATTTTATGTTAGTATTTCCCTAAGTTTTTCCCTAATTGTTTCTCAAATTTTCTAGGTCCTTTTGATAATTAGTATTTAATTTATAATTATTTGTGTAGCTATTTTCAGTTTTACAAATGAAATGAATGTTATGTTCTGTTATGTTCTGTTGTAGTTTATAAAGACTATCCTGTCTCAAGGACATCTGACTCCTCTACCTCTTTACATCTGCCCAGTGTATTGGGCATATGATTATACTTTAAGAGTGTATCCTGTGCCCGATCTGCTTGTCATTGCAGACAAATACGATCCTTTCACCGTGACCAATACTGAATGCCTCTGCATTAACCCTGTAAGCATGGAGTTAACATT